TATACCGTAGCTCGGGAGCATAAAAGGAAAGATCTTGATATTACAAATAAATGTAGATTGATTTAGTTTAGTTATTATTATTTAATATACATATAGAAATAAGACTTATGGACTATGGACTACATCAAGACAATATGGAGTTCAGCTACATCGGAAGAACGTCGTGGCAGAATTGCCTCGACTTAATGTAATATCGTAAACATGTAAATTAACGTGATGTCTACTCAGCAATATCCATATTACATGAGTAGACATTAATAATATGCAACAATCGTTACATTACCTCCCTCCTTTTTGAACTTACATCTATACAATTTATTCTAATTTTTTTTTTTTTCAAATATAAAAACATGAGTAAGTGAACACTGTATGTGTGATTTGTTGATGATGGTCCGATTGATGTGAAATTAAGATGAATGATTCTTCCTTAACTTTGTTCGTCGATTTGTTCCACCATTTAGTTGTGAAGACGGTATGACCGACTTATGATTTTAAGGATGAGGAGAAAATTACCTCACCGCGAACTCCTGGCTGATGTTCACAGTTAACAACATCAAACTCTGCAGTTTCTCCGTCATCACGTTGATGAAACCATAGACGCATTTGGACCGTCGATTGTCTATTTGTTTTTATAGTTGCTCACTTACCCTTTTTTACAATATTTGGACTTATAGCATAATTTTAATACAAAATTTTTTTAAATGGTTCCATTCAACTCATTTTTTTTTAAACACACAAAAAAAAATAGCTACAATTTTTCGACATATTATTTTAAACAATATTTTGAATAAATATTCTCTTTTTTTTTTATTACAATTTTGTCATTTAACATAATGTTTTGATACTTTATAATAGTAAAAATAAATTTAAATATATTCCTTTTAACTATTTTTTTAAACACAAAATAATTAGCTTTTACGAATTTATCATCCAAACAAAAAAAAAAATACATACACTTTTTTGACATTGTTTTAAACAATATTTTGGATAAATATTCTCTCCTTTTTTTTTTTTTACAATTTTTTCATTTAACATAATTAACATAATGTTTTGATACTTTACAAAAAAAATAAATTAATATTGTCTTTTACAAATTTATCATTTAAACAGGTACATACAAATAAATATACAATTCTTTTTTTTTAAAAAAATATTTTCATTCAAAAAAAAAATTAATTGACATGATCTTTAACAAAAAATTATTTTTTTTTACAAATTAATCGACAAGATTATTTGATATATATATTTTAAAAAAAAAAAAAAAAAAATTATGTACACATTTTCGTTTAACATACTTTTTTTCTTTTCTTTTATTTTTTTTAAACCCTTTTTTTTTAATAATAAAAATTAATAATTAAATTTTTTATAAATTATACATTCAAAATTTTTTTTTATTTTGGTTATAAATTTGATATGGTTCATGTTACGTTTGTTTTACACCATTCTGCCCTCATGCCTTACTCTCTGGTTGTGAAGGACGTTACTGTTAATTTTTAATGTGCACTGTGCTTTGATTTGTTTTATTAATAAATATATGATTACAGAACTAACTATTACGGAAATTACGTATAACCCATATTGGTGTAGTGCTGTGTTTGCAACGGAAAAATCGTCATTCGATTGTTTCTCAATATCGTTTAACAACGAATCTAAATTACGCGTAGTCACTTGTAAATTTTTTAAATTCGGTGTCTTGAGTTTCGAAAATATAGGGGAGTAATTAAAAGTTGTCAGTTTTTTAATTTTTTCAGATATTTCCTGTAGGCTGATAAGATTAATTTCCGGGTAAAAATTCGTAAAAATAATATGGTTAATTTCATTTGTTAGTATAAAATTGTTATAGTTGTATATAGGACGCAATCGGGAGGTGTTGTTATAATACCCACCCTTTGCAAAATGTGTATTGATGTTAATAATACACAATATCGTGCATACTATAGCACTTGAACTAGCACTTGAAAACTATAATATTTTATGTTATCCAATACTTTCGTTGGTTTTAGATGACTCAATGGATTGGACGTCGTATTAAGTCGCCATAAGCACTGGCTGGATTATTTTCTCGTGCTTACTGACAATGGTCCCACAAATATGTCCAACCAAAGCGTGCTACGGTTGCTCCACTAATCCACATTATTACTGGATCGATGTTGTTTTTCTACACAATTAACTACGGCAAAATAATCCGTGGACATAATTACAAACATCACTAATGTTCGACTAATAATCGAACTACTTTGTTTATATAATGAATTAAAATAATGTCACAGCCGCATGTGTTATAAATATATTAAAAATATTTGTATACGCACAAAAACCAATAATATATTTTTTCAAAAAAAAACTACTAAAATATGCCAAAAAACCACAAATATAAACTCACTACGTGATAGAACTCATTATTAGTTCACCTAGCTATAAATAGTATAAACAGAAGAAATAGAAAAAAGTATGTAATTTCTATAACTTCTGGTCCTTAGTCTTAAACAAGCTCAAATCTAGTATATATATATATATATATAATTAAAATAACTGAATTGAAAAATAAAGATTGACAATGTGTATGGAAAAACCCGATAAACCTACTTAAATATCAAGAAGATAATTTCTTTTGATTTTATTTTGAATAGGCTAAATTTGTTTAGTATGTCCAACAAATATGCATTAAAAACCAACAAAATGACCCAATAATACTAAAAATGTTATAATAATGAAAAAATATCGAAATATGGAAAAAAATGCAAAATAAAATTTGTCGTTTTAAAAACCGTCGTTACATTAAACGAATTATGTTCTTAGAAAGCATTGTGTATGATCAACCAAAATAATATGCACTTTTCATTGAAATCCGGGTCCTAATTATAACTGTGTCTGTGTACGAGTCATTAAGACATAAACCAAGAAATAAGATATAAAAATACATCATCGCGGCAGGTCGCCTTCATCGAAAATTTCCAGGAAAAGAATAACTATAACATTGCTAAAAATAAAATAAAACGAAATCCAAATATAACGTTTAAATGAAGACATTTCACAGAATAACGAAGGGCTTAGGTCAGTTCTCCTCATTGATAAGAGATAAAAATGAAGTTTCCAAATTCATTGATGACAACGTTCAAAAGAAAAATTCTCTCCAATCCAACCTCTACAGTGTCATTTACATAATAACAAAAAAATCCCTGAATTTCAAATTTATTTATTTTCAAATTCAAATTTCAAAACCAATGTTTTTGAAAAAATTAAAAACCGGTCTGTTGTTCCATATATGAATGATCACAAAATATTATAGCTTGAAACTTAATATAGTTAATAGTTCGTAATAAATTACATACGAGGCAAAAATAAATGATTGCGGGGTGTCGCGGCTAACGACAAGTTTTTATTTAAAAGTAAATTGTATCTTTTATTGTAAGACGTTGTAGTTTTTTTTTTTTTTTTTATTTGCTTCTAGTAAAAACTATGACAGCTCGACACTTAAAGATAACACAGTTAGACATTAACATAAGAAAAACAATAAAAGGTGACAATTGACAAAAATTATAAGTATATAAAAAAAAAAAAATTACATTGTATCAATATGGATGCTTGGATAATAGTGTGAGAAAAAAGTATAAATAACTTAAAGTGCAAAGCCAGCTTACAATAAGAAAGTAATTATTTGATTAATGACCATATCAGATTGGGTGTTAAGTATTGAAGGAAGATGAGATGAGACATTAGAAGATTTTAAGTAATTGAACAGTGAAAACGTTTAATATAAAGTGAAGTACTGTCAAATAATAAATAAGAAATGTCACAGACGCTTTCGGTTAAGTGTAGTGTACAAAGGGGAGAATTATTTAACCCAAGTTTATATGCATGATCAGGGAGGAGCGAATGGCCCAAACGAAGGCGGTAAAACGGACTAACCTGGGTAGGTCTAAATTAAAAAACCAAGTTTTTTTTATTAGAGATTGGGGGGGACAATAGATTTATATTTGGAAGCAAAGTTAGCCGATTATTCCAGTAGTTGGACCAAGGACAGGTAATGTGATAATGTAGTAAAGGAGTAAAATCAGTCCAAGGTAATTTAGCAAGAGGAGGAAGAATAGTATTGGAAGTAGATTTGGCGAGTCCGTCGGCCATTTCATTATCATGTATACTGACGTGTCCGGGGATCCATATAAGTTTAATTAGGCGATTGGACTGATTTAGAGAATATAAATATGATTTAATTTGAAAAACTAGAGGTGAAAGTTTAGAATTAAAGGAATTGGGTATAAGAGATTGTAAACATGACATAAAGTCGGTGGCGATTAGATAATTATTAGGAGCTAAGTTTGAGATAAAATGAAGAGCTTCGAGTATAGCGTAACACTCAGCAGTAAAGGAAGAGTAAGAAGGAGGTAAATTATTAGAGAAGGAAATATGAAGTTCAGGTATGTAGAAAGAATAACCGGCAGAAAGGGGAGAGACTGAGTCATCAGTATAAATGACGATGAAATTAGAAAATTTGAGAAGGAGGTAACTTGTAAAGGAATTATTGACAAGGGAATTAGGCATTAATTTAAGTTCAGTAACAGATAAATCAGAGAAATTAACAATTTGAACTGCAGGGGTAAAGAGAATAGAGTCGTAAGGATAATCGTAGAGTGGAAATTTATTTAAATTTATAACATATTGGTGGAGATTGGAAGGTTGTTGGCTGCAATAGAGAGGTCTGGCATTGATTTGGGTGTATAACGCCAGGTGACAAAAAGGGAATAGAAGATATCAAATATAATATGGTTAGAAAGAGCTAAAGATTTTAATATGAACTTTCCGGCAAGCCACCAACACCTGATGTTATAAAGAGGACAGATTGTCTCAACTTCGGGCCGGGGCTGGACCTTACGTATCCCATTATACAAGGTGCGGCAAAAAGAACTCCCTGATTAAGAAAACTAATAAAAACTAAACCAAGTGAAATATCAAAAAAAAAAAAATGTATTTATAAATCGTACATATAATGCCATTTTTTATTAATTATTTTTAAAAATAATATCAGTTAAATGGCCGCCCTCATTTTGGATACACTGATTGAGCCTTTCTCGGTAATTTTCTATAACTCTACGGGTCATTTCGGGCAGAATAGCAGCAATTTCCTGGGTTATTACTTCCTTCAGAGCTTCCAAAGTTTGTGGACGATGTTGGTACACTTGGGCTTTTAGATATCCCCAGAGAAAAAAATCACATGGGTTCAAATCTGGTGAACGTGGCGGCCATCCAATGTCACCTCGCAATGAGACGATATGCTCAGGAAACATTTCTCGCAGAATGCTGAGTGAACGATGAGCTGTGTGCGCTGTTGCACCATCTTGTTGAAACCACACATTTTGTTGTCCATACTCATGAAAAAAATCGTTCAATTTTGGCCGAAGAAAATGTTCAAGCATATTACAATAGCGATTAGAGGTCACTGTTACAGTAGCACCGTCTTCTTCAAAGAAGTACGGACCCCACACACCGGATGTGAACCGTAACAGGATACGTACATCCGTAACCGGATGTTAAACAGTAACCTTTGGACTATAGTGTGGTCGTTGGTGAAGTTCTTGAGGATTGTGTTCGGACCAATATCGAAAGTTTTGTTTATTTACCGTACCTGAAAGGTAAAAATGTGCCTCGTCCGTAAAAAGCAATACATCTGTTCGGGGAATATTCCGAAGAAGATCCCGACACAATGTTGTACGGGTTTCAAAATCTCTCGGGAAAAGTTTTTGAGTGACCATAATTTTGTAGGGGTGCATTTTAAGTTCTTGATGCAGAATTCTCTGAACACTGCGATCGGATAAGTGTAAAGCAGCCGCGTGTTTCCTTGCAGAACGCCGCGGAGATTGCATTTTCCAGTCCTGTTGCAGTCCGAGGTCGGCCCGTCGACTTTCTTTTTAGTGCAGAACTTGTTTGCCTAAAATTTTTTACCCAATTGTGTATTGTTTTGCTATCGGGAACGGGATCACGGCGATTGAGCGCGAACCGAATACGAAACGCACGCTGGGTCATTATCGGTGAACCGCCATTATTAATAAATTATTCGACAACAAACGCACGATGCTCTCCCGACCAAGCCATGATATATACTAAAAACAGCATCGATAAGGCTTTCTATCGATATAAATATCACTAATGTATCTCCACCCAAGCCCAAACTAAGACCTTATCAAACTAGGGAGTTCTTTCTGCCGCACCTTGTAGTTCTAAGACAAGACGTTTGGAGTGTATTTATTTTTTTCCAGTTGGAGTGAGTAGCCGAATTGAAGAGAAAGCAACCATAGTCTAATTTAGAACGAATGATAGAGCGATAGATGGATAACAAACAGGTAGGATGAGAACCCCACCACGTGCTAGATATAGTCCTGAGAAAATTAGCCCAACGGGATGTGATTGTAGAAAGCGAAGAGATGTGAGGTTTCCAACGTAGTTTTGTGTCTAACGTGATGCCTAGATAGGTAACGGTGGTATCAAAAGGTATAAGGTGATCATCAAGGTGAATGTTAGGGTGATTTGAATATCTGCGCCGAGTAAAAATGGCGGATTTGCATTTCTCAGGAGCAATTTCCAGAGATATGTTTGTTAAAAAAATGTTAAGATCAATGAAGGCTGCGTTTAGGAGTTCTATAGCGAGGGGAAGCGATTTATTTGATGAAAAAATGACCATATCATCAGCGTATATAAGGCATTTGTGACCACATCTCGAAAGACTATTAGCTACAATGCTCATGTATATATTAAACAGCAGCGCACTGAGGCAGCTCCCTTGAGGAAGACCTGTAAAAGTGGAACGAGCATTAGAAGAGCCGAAAGGTGAAGAGAATACAAGATTCCTTTTCTTGAAAAGAGAGAGTAAGATATTTCCAAATTTTGGAGGGGCGTTCAGAGAGATAATGTGATCGACGAGAATGTGAATATTAAAGTCAAACGCACCCCGTATATCTATGAAAGTAGTAACAAAAAATTCCTTATTGTTGAAGGAGTGATAGATATTTCCAACGAAGGTTGAGAGGCATTCCATGGTACCAGACAATAAGTAGTGACATTGACAATGATGATGAAAAAGAAGTCTATGTTGCACTAGTAGTAGAATTAAGTAGTTCTGACAATTATTACACCTTCGACATTGAAGGTAGCACTTTGATTTTTTTTACATATTTTATAAACCATAGGTACTTGATTTTATTTTTTTTTATTTAATACTAGTTGGTACCACAGATGAGGATAACGTTCTTAAATATGAGTATGAAAAATGTAAAATAATGTTTCGATTTTAAAGTTGGTTTAATCAGCACACTTCAACACAGCCAGCTTCCAGTGCAACTACTATCCTAAAGTTTTTAAAAGGAAAGATACTTTAGGAGAGCATATGTCTTGCCATGTTGGTGGTAGAGTTTTCAAATGCATCGCTTGCGTTAAGAAGTTTAGCGATAGGAGAAATCTCAGGGCTCACCAAAAGTTGATACATAATTCTGACCCGATTAAGTGGCCGAAATGTCAAAATATGTATGCTGATAATAGAAAATTAAGATATCACAATCTGTTGATGCATACAAACAAAAAATCTTTCCATTGTGAATGCAAAGCTTCATTTGCCGTGCCATCAATGCTTTCAAAACACCGAACGAAAATGGTAAAATATTGAAACCTCATTAAAACATTATAATGACACTTAACATTTTAAGCTATTATGTTTTTTTCAGAATCACCTAAGACCAAAATGAAGGATAATATAAATATGTTATATTTATATTACAATAAACTATTATATTATAATAAATTCATTATTTTTTAATAAAGTTTCAATTTATTACCATTTTTATACGATGAACATCGAGTTGACATGATAGGGGAAGTACTGCGTATGCCGCCCACCTAAGCAAAAAATCTAATAAAAACGACAATAATGGTCCAAGAACATCTGTTTATAACTCATTCGATAGATAAACTTGTTTTTCTTCTTTATGTTTAGGTTAAATGTGTTTAAAGTAATTCGATATTGAGCTATTCTAAATTTAGAAAAAAAGTTTTTGGGCGACAAAACCCCCCATGTCGGGTTTTCCCGTCCAGTGATCGGATTTTGCCGCCCACCCATTAAATACACAAAATATATTTTTTTACCTTCTAAACATAGCCTTTTGGTGTCCACTTTGCTTTCCTGTTCATCTTAAAATGTATTAATTCATAATTCATATAATAAATAACAGCTGTGCGAAATTCTAACTATATTCTAAATCCACAAAACCTACACAAACCAAATTCTCATCTTTTACCATTAAATATAAAATAACTAATCGCTAAGAAACACATAGCCCGCTCCCGTTGGCAAAGAACAAGACTTCCCTCAGATAAGCACACGTTTTATAACCTTGCAAATACCATTAAAAAACTAATATTAAAACACATAAATGAGCATTTTGAATAAAAATACAAATCCTTAAATACAAAAGATGGTTCATTATGGAAAACTACCAAAAACCTCCTAAAATTAAAAAAACTTTCACGTCCTATTAAAAAACCAGATGGTTCACTCGCACTATCTTTAGCCAATTTGTTTGGCGAACACCTTTCTAACATATTTAAACCCCATCCCATAACTTCTTCTAATACTACTTTTTTAAACAAAATAAATAACTTTCTTGATGCTCCATTACTATTGTCTCTCCCCATAAATTATATTTCACCTAACGAAATCGTTAATGCGATCCAAAGACTCAAACTTAAAAAATCGCTGGGATATAACTTAATCACAAATAAAATTCTCAAAAATATTCCCAAAAAACAATTATTCTTCCAACATATATATACAACTACATGCTGAGACTTTCCTATTTTCCTGTAATATGGAAGTTTTCTATAATTATACTCATACATAAACCCAGTAAACCCACCAACGCTGCTTCTTCGTACAGACCCATAAATCTACTTCCCGTACTCGGCAAGTTATTCGAAAAATTCGTTCTGAAAAGAATTAGTAAATTCACAAAATGTCATCCTTAATGCCCAGTTCGGCTTCCGGGCCAGTCACTCCACAATACAGCAAATTCATAGGATAGTGGACAAAATTGCCTATTCGTTTGAGTACAAAAAATACTGTCCTGGAGTTTTCTTTGATGTTGCGAAGGCGTTCGACCGTATTTGGTACAATGGTTTGCTTTTTAAGCTAAAACTTATTCTACCTGCCCCTTACTACCTATTAATCCACTCATACCTCCAAAACCGTTCTTTTTCACCAAGGAAATTACTCTTCTTCCATTTTTCAAATCCAAGTTGGAGTACCTCAAGGTAGTGATCTGTCTCCTGATATCTTCAATATCTTCACGTCTAATATTCCCCAAACCGAAAACACCATTTTAGCTACCTACGCCGACGACGCAGCAATACCATCATCCAATTCCGATCCCAATGAAGCTTCTTTCGCTCTTCAACTCCACTTAAACCATATCGATAATTGGTTACTCAAATGGAAAATAAAACTAAACGCCGATAAGTCCATACACGCTACTTTTACCCTTAACAAAAAAAACTCACCAGCTCTTATATTTTAAAAAATTCCTATTCCATTGCACAAGTGAAATATCTTGGTATAGTTTTAAATAAAAGACTCACCTGGGGCCCTCGTCTTAAAGCAAAACGAAAATTATTAAATTCTAGACTACACTTATTGCGTCCATTACTCAAATCTAATCTTCAACTAAAAAATAATCTGTTAATATATAAATCAATGATACGTCCCGTTTGGGCATATGGTGCTCAAATCTGGGGTTGCGCCAAGACATCCCAAATAAAAAGAATCCAATCATTCCAATCAATTTGCCTACGCCAAATTACTTCTGCTCCTTGGTTTGTTAACAACCATTCTCTTCATAAAAATCTAAATATTGAGACATTCGAAAATCTAATCATAGCATACTACAAAAAATTCCACTCTAGATTAACCCTCCATTCCAACCCACTCATTTCAAACCAGTACTATTTTACGCTTCCGAATGTTCCTCCACGTCGTCTCGAAAGACGCTGGTGTCGTGATCTCTTGATCTAGATACTTAACTTAAATATACTAACAAAAGGGATAGGATCTCTTCCCTTATCACGTGATCATGTTTGTTTTATTTATGTTGTCTTACAAATTTGCTTATTGTGCAAAAGACGCACAGATTGTAAATGTTATATTTTCTGAATAAAAAAAAATAATAATATTCTAAATAATTAAATTAAAAAAAAACAAATAAAAATTAATCGGCTTACTAGCACAAAATCAATGATAATAACGATATAACAAATAATATAATTAAAAAATCGAATTTATTCAAAAATTTAATAAATATCAATCATCATAAAAATTCTTATAAATTACAATATTCTGAAAATATTAAAACAAAAATAATTTTATACATAAAAGAAATTATTAAAAATTTATTAACTTATGAATTTAACATTCAAGATATAAATCAATTTTCTAAATTTTTAAAAACCAGTTAAAAAATTACAGACAAACTATGATTAACCTTACTGATTTTTTTTTAAAATTAATGAATTAATAAAAACAAAAAATTATAATTGTAATTCCCGTCTGGTTTTGTCGCTCATATCAATAAGAGGAAAAAATCACTATAAGAATTTCTATAAAACTCTGAAATTATATATTAATAATACACATTATGTTTAATTACTTGCATTGTGTATACAAAGATGAATTTCGAATATTGTGTATGAAAATTATACACCATACCACACAGCAGTTAAACATTTTTTCATCATCAAAATATATTTAACTAATTAAATATATAGGTTATTTAAAGCGTTTTGATGTAAAATTACTAAGCAATATCTATTAGTTTTCTTCTAATATGAGCAATAGCCAAGTTTGGCTTTAACGGCTTTATAATGTTTATATCCGCACAATTTTTATAATTTTGTACTTTCTAACGATAGCTAAAAAAAAGTATTCAAGTATTATATTAATTATAACTTTTGTATTTTTTTTCCTTTGATTCTATACAACGTTATCCTAGTTAAAATTTGATTCGTGCTCTCTTGATGCGAATATTCTAATTTTATTTTGCATTTTTATGTTTTTTAACCTCATTTTTCAACATTTTTAAGTAATTTTTTATAGTTTTTTACAATGTGGGGCAATTTGGATTTTAGAACAAGTGTTAAACCCAAGTTTGGAAACAAATTTAATTTATTTAAAATCGACCTTTGGATTTGGATAATTAGTAAAAAATCATTTTAATATTATTATTGTTGGGTTTTAATCAAGGCTTTGCAATCGAATTAGTTTTTTTGGGTTTTCGGGTTTCGGGTGTTGAATATATTCGGGTGTTCAAACACCGCATTACAACATTTAAACAAACGTTTGGTGTTAATAACCATTATTATTCGGGTTTTTTTTTTTTTCAATCTTTAGATTGGTTAAATGACTTTGATGGCTCTCCACTTATCCCTATCCATTACAGCTACTTTTAGTTCCTTATAGTTGGTTTCCCCTATATCGTCTATGATCTGTTTCATAAATGGTGTTCTTGGTCTACCTCTTCCAGCTTTTCCTTTTATTTTTCCTTCTATTATTGTCGTTATCCATTCATTATTTCTCATAATATGTCCGATCCATTTTTTCCTCTTTTCTTTGATTGTCGTCCATATTCCTTTTTGTTCGTTCATTCTTAGGTATACTTCCTCATTTTTAACTTTCACTGTCCAAGAAATTTTCAGTGCTCTTCTCCAACACCATGTTTCAAATGCTTCAATCTTTTTTCTTTCCGCTTTTAATATCGTCCATGTTTCTGCCCCATAGAGGGCTATACTCCATACAAAACTCTTTATAAGATTTTTCCTGGTGTTTAAGCTAACAGTGTTTGCCGTTAATAGGTGTTTCTTTTGGTAAAATGCCTGTTTTGCTTGTGCTATTCTGCTCTTTATGTCCATTTCGCTTCTTCCATCATGTGTTATTTTACTTCCTAGATATGTATACCATTGAACAGTTTCCAGCTTCTCATTTTCAATCGTTATGTACGAAAGCTTGTTGCATTGTTGCTTGTTGCATATTAATATTTTTGTCTTGCTCTTATTTATTTTCATTTTGTATTCTTTACAGCTATCATTCATTTTTATTAACATGTTGCCTAAAGCTTCTTCACTTTCCGCAATCAATGCTATGTCGTCTGCAAAGCGCAACATTTGTACTAGCATACCATTTATTTTAATTCCTCCATTTTTTTCTTCTCTTAATTGCTTTAGAGTGTTTTCAATGTACAGATTAAATAGTGTTAGTGATAAGTTACACCCTTGTCTAACTCCTTTTTCAATATTTGCTTCTTCCCATGCTTTGCTTCTTTTATCTGTTATCACAGCCTTTTCATTTAAGTATAACTTATGAATAATTCTTCTGTCTTTAATATCGATATTTATGGTTTTCATAATATTGAATAATATCTTCCCATTGACGTTGTCAAAAGCTTTTTCTAAGTCAATGAACGCTATATACATAGGCTTGTTTACTCTATACATCTTTTCCATGATCATTCTTAAGCACAGTATAGCCTCCCTGGTTCCTCTATTCCTCCTGAAACCAAATTGGTCTTCCTCTAGATTGACACTTATTTTTGCTTCTATTCTTTTGTGAATTATCTTTGTTAATAT